GTTCAGAGTTCTGGGACCATCCCCTGAGCCTGCTTGGTCGGGTATTCTGTGTTGTTGTTGGCGGAGCTCTCTGCTATACGTTCACCCGATCCGCCATCTTGTTTGTTCTCTTGAATGTATAGCTTTTGCATACTTGTGTTTTTATTGGTAGCAAGCCAATATGATTACCTAATATTTAAAACTCTAAGTAATAAAAGATATTGTCCGATGATTTCTGCATTCCGTTATGTCACCTCTCTTTTGAACGGGCACAAATACGGATCTCATCCAATCAGCTGTCCACATAGTTGTCTTCCAAATTTCTTGGCATAGATGAGTGAGTGTCTCCTGTGCTGCCTCACTTTCTTGAAAGGTTTCAATTTTTATTCCATCAATTCCTGGTGCCTTTTCTTTGCCAACTCCTTCAATGCACCTTGGACTTCCTCCTTCAGTATCATTGGCTCTTGATCATATGCTACCTCTAGAAATGGTTGAACATCAACCATTTCCTTTTGGTACAATGACTAAAGGTAATACAGAAATGGTTACAAGCATACATTTTCAGAGAACTTTCAGAGGTTCAAGAAAGATTCAGAAGAGGCCATGGAACTAGGGTTATCATTGCTGATGTATGATGGATCTTGGCTGAAAGCAGAGGATATCAGAAAGATGTTTACCTGTGCTGTATTGACTACACAAAGGCTTTCAATTGTGTGGATCATGATAAGCTATGGACAACATTACGAAGTATGAGTGTTCCGGAACACTTAATTGTGCTCATGAGTAATCTGTACATGGACCAAGAGGCAGTTCTTTGAACAGAACATGGGAACACTGAGTGGTTTAAAATTAAGAAAGGTGTGCAACAGGATTGTATTCTTTCACCATACTTATTCAGCCTGTATGCTGAGCAAATATGAGAAGTTGGGGTATATGAAGAAAAATGTGACATCAGGATTGGAGGAAGACTCATTAACAGACTACAATTTGTAGATGATAGAACTTTGCTTGCTGAAAGTGAAGAAGACTTAAAATATTTACTAATGAAGACCAAAGAGCACAGCCTTCAGTATGGATTGCATCTCAATGTAAAGAAAACAAAAATGCTCACCACTGGACCAATAAACAACATGCTTATCAGTGGAGAAAATATTGAAGCTGTCAGCGACTTCATTCTTCTTGGATCAACTATCAACACTCATGGAAGCAGCAGTCAAGAAATCAAACAATGTATTGCATTAGGCAAATCTGC